AACCTCTTACTTTTCTCTGTTTTGATTTAGTTTTTGCATGGAGACAGAGGAAGATGTTGGCCAAGAAAATTGAGATAGGCGAAAAAAAAAGCAGTGGAATGGTATTGTAGAAAGAGTTTAGAGAGAGGCCAGCAAAACCATATCTGAAGTGGAGGAAAAGAGGAAGCAATGCAAATGTTAAGTGGAGTAGGTAAGGAGGGGAGCACAGATGTACAGATATGCAGATGTACTATATAGCACAGATGTACAGATATGCACATCATAAACCAGCCAAAATGCGAACAGTATGGTCAACATAAAAGAGAAGTGTGGGAATTAGTTTTTTTTTTAAATTATACTTACCTAGGTGGATGCAACATCGGCCTGATGCTGCATCTGTTCCCTGCCAATCTAACGGTGAGAACTCAATGATCACATGACCACTGATCACTGAGTTCTCACAGCTGCTCTGTTGTCTGCTCTGCCTCCCCCTCCTCCACACTCACTGGAGTGCTGGGCTGAGAAGGGGGAAGGAGTGGCTGGCTCAGGCTCTCAGTGGCTCCCATCAGGGTGGATCTCAACTTTAACCACTTCAATACCGGGTACTTTTACTCCCTGCCTGCCCAGACTGATTATCAGGTTTCAGCGCTCTCACACATTGAATGGCAATTGCGCGGCCATACAACACTGTACCCAAACTAAAATTTTATAATTTTGTTCACACAACTAGAGCTTTCTTTTGGTGGTATTTAATCACCACTGGTGTTTTTATTTTTTGCTAAGTTAACAAAAAAAGACCAAATATTTTGGAAAAAAAACATGTTTTTCTTTGTTTCTGTTATAAAGTTTACAAATAAATAATTGTTCTTCATAAATATAGCTAGTTCACAAACTATGGGATATATCTGAAAATTGATCAATCCTGAAGTACTGACAGCCAGTCTAATTTGAGGCCCAAAAATGTCAGAACAGTACAGATATCCCTTAAATGACCCCTTTTAGCAAAGTAAACAGTCCGGAGTATTTCATAAGAGGCATGACAAATTTTTGAAGTTGTAATTTTTGTCATAATTTTTCAGAAAATGTAGAAATTAAAAAAATTATTTTCACAATTTTTTCTTCTACACACTGTCACCAGTGCAGTACAGCATCAGCATATAACTGGTGTAGCGGTCATCGGGGACACTGACTGGTGACAGTATGAAAAAAAAAATTGATAATTATTTTCAATTATTTTTTTATTCCATTTTTTTCTTTTGTTTTAAGATTTTTTTTTATATTACGCTATGACTAAAGTAGTAGAATTTTACATAGTAACATTGTACTACTTTGGGGAAGTGATCAGTGTTTTTTTTTTTTTTACATAATTTGATTGCTTATAGCAAAGATTTTCTATACATGAAAGGAAGCCATCCATTGTATACAACTGTCATGTGACCTGCTGTGATTGGTCACAGCAGGTCACATGGTACTGGCAACAGGGTCGGTACACAGATCTGTCATCGGCCTTGTCCGAGGTACACAGCCAGTGACAGATCTCGCCACAGGGTGATCTGGGAAGGACGTCATATGAAGCCCTCCCGGAGGGATGAGGTGTTCGCCTGGACGTCATTTGACTATAGGCTGGGTGGCAAGTGGTTAAAGTCAGGATCTTTCCCCAGCCTGGACCGGCTGAGTGACGTCAGCCGACAGCGGGCTTCAGCCTGCTGTCAGCTGAAAATGGGCCACAGGAGTTCAGAACGAACTGCACTCCTGTGATCCACAGGAGAAGTACAGCCAAAAGAGCTTTGGCTGTATATCTCCTTTAAGAATGTAGAGAGGAGAGAGACAAAGCAAGAATGCTATATATTGTGGAGGAAGGGGTAGTATAGGCAAAAAGATCAGATTGTGGAGAAATCAGTAACACGCAATACCATTGAGTTGCAGCTGTGCACGCAAAGGAGATATACAGGTCACTGGTGTGCATGGGCCCTAATAATTACTGATCCAGACTTCAATGCATAAATCCTGTTTCATGAAATCCAGATTGCTAGGTGTCTGAAATAATGCAAGCAAATCAGAAAGTCTTATTTTCTATATGATGGCACCATGTGATTAGCAAGACAGGCAGAACACTTCTGATAAAACATACATAAAAAATACGTATAGACTGTTAGAGCATTTGATAGAAATGTGCTGATCGGAGATGAATGTGAGATTTTAGAAAAGGGACACAGGGAAAGTGCTGTCCACCAGTAACTGGAGCTCTGTGTATGTTGTCAGCCTAGCATTCCAGGCCAGCTCCTGTGCTATAAATACTGCTGGGGCCTTGCTGTGGTTCAGCAATAGAATCACAGGGGTTGGCTCAAGGAGCCAGTGCCAGGTTTTATATTTCTGCTGCAAGCAGCGGTCAGTGCACATTGTTGGAGATCTGCAGAGTGCTGACAGCTTTCAAAGCTCAATGTGCAAGAACCATTATTAGTTTCATGACATGCTCACAGCTCAAACATGAACAAGCCTCTGATGCCTGTTCTTATATTTGATCTATGTAAAACTAAAAAATCAACTTAATAGTACTAAAAACATACACATCAATATATGTTTCTTTGGAGTTTATAGTTTATAATCAAATGGGCCTTTCCCTTTTACAATTTCAAAAAGGACGATCAGAGCGGATATATAGACATGTCTACAAAGCTTTGAATATTGGGAATGAAAGGGATTTGATTAAATAAATAATAAAGATGTAAAAAAAAAAATCTGAGATCAAATTAGAATTCCAAGAACCATCTACTCTACATTCACATGTTATGGGCTAGCGGCTAGCCCATAAACCTGTTTATCTTATTATTCATATAACTTAGAAAAGAAATGCAGCAGTCACATAATTATAAAAATAAATGTTTATTGGTTTGAAAAAAGCAACATAAAATTTAATGAAACAATACTTTTTTCAAATTGTCATCATCGATACTTAAAAACAAGACAACTTTGTCTTTAGACAAGCCAAGTAACACCCCCTTGAAAATTTCTGTCTCTTAATTGTAAGCAATATTAAACCAAAAAGCAAATGTAGCGCCACCCCTGAAGGAGTCACTTGATAATTTTGGTTTCGTTGTTCTATGCCCCGACTCCAAAAACAACCTTAGTTCTTCTGACACACCTGGTTAAATGAGATAACTGTGAACACAAGTACTAACAAAACCGAAAGGAATAGATTTGCAGAATAATATTTTACTAGAGACAATAAAGTCAACAAAGTTTGTAAATTGTGGGTATTCCCCAAATTGTAGGGTTTAGCAGTAAAAAGAGTCACAAAAGATATGCAATACATGACCGTAACAGAGCTCTGAAGAAGGGAGTGCGTCTCCCGAAACGTGTTAGCTTACCCCATCAAGGGTCTATCATCACTTTGGACTGGCATTACGGACTTTTCTTTTCTGTTTTTATTCCCTTTGGTTTGTGAGTATACATCTATATGCTTATAAACAAATTTGTGTTTCACCACGGTAATGCACGATGAGAGCGCGCCCTGTTTTGGTTTTGTTAACCATTACCAAGATTGCCTGATCTTCCAAGGGCTGCACCTCAACATTTGGCATTTAAAGTTTTCCTAATCTGCATGAAGATTTGAGAGCTGGTTTCGTTTGTACATAAGGTGGGCCTCAGTCCACTCACCAATCCTGGATATATACATAGGAAGTGTGTCCCAGAGCAGGCTCTTGAAGGTCTTCAGCCAGATGAAAGATGCCCAATTGGCAACCTAATGACCCAAGGACTTAGCAATGTCTGTGTGGGTGTGTCTGGAAGTAGCCCCAGGTGGCCACACTGCTGATGAGGTGCCTATGGCTGCAGATCCGTGCCCAGTGATGCCCCCACACAAACAGGCAAAGGAGGGGATAGTCTTTTGCTTCTGCAGTTGTGGTTCCCACATCTCCTCCACACTGTCCTCTCTCCTTGGAGCCCTCTCCCTGATGGCTCCCAGGCTCTCCTTTTTTCCTTCCCTGGCTCAGTCTCCCTTTCTCTCCCTTGGATGCTTACAGAACACACCCCTTCCTCTTTCCTCCCTGTTCTCTCCTCCTTTTGCTGCTGGGGCAAGATGGGGGTTGTAGTCCATGCTTCATAAAATTCCTATGGGCTCCCTGTCTTCTGGGACTACATGTCCCAAGATCCTTTAATCCCTTGCTGCTGATTGGTCCTCCGCTTTGGCTAATGAGGGAGGAGCAGGGGCGGACTGACTATTTGGAAACTCGGGCACTGCCCAAGGGCCTGGGGTCAGTAAGGGGCCCCATTAGATGCCCCTGGTACCTTTTTCATAGGCTTTTTTTGAGTTTGGGCAAGGACACAGGGGCCCCATGATCCCCAATTGCCCGGGGGCCCCATGAGTTGTCAGTCCGCCCCTGGGGAAGAGAAAGGCAATCAGAGCGTCCGTGGTGGTTCGGGCTACACAGAGCTCGCTGTCTTTCTCTTGCGCCGCTCTGCTGACAGGAGGAAGGGGGGACGAGCAGAGGATATTTTGACAGCCCACAGGTCGCCTTTCCCCTGTTATTGGCACTGCCTGCCTCTACCTAAGGACTTTTGGTCTCCAAAGGAGGGAAAGAGTCCACTGACATATCATTTCCATAACCTCTTACATGCTTTCCAAATGCACTTGGAGCAAAGCAGGTTAGTACATGTAATAAAACAAGCAATGGGCACGTACATATGAAATTGGCAAGGAAACCTATCACCATTTGTCATAAGAGCGGAGGTTGTCTTGTCCACAAGCCCCTGATATTGGGATGACCCACCTTGATGTGGTAGGGAATGAGTTGGAGTCGACATGTACATATGAATCTGGCAAGGAAACCTTCCACCATTTGTCATAAGAGAGGAGGTTGTCTTGTCCACAAGCCCCTGATATTGGGATTAGAGATGAGCGAAGTATTCAAAAATTCGATTCGGCTGATTCGGCGAATTCGCGGAATAAATTCGATTCGAGTCGAATATATTCGCTGCGAATTTAACTTATAAAAAGGGTGTTTCTAGGCTTCAGAGAGCCTTTATATTAGTGCAGAACACTGTACCTTTAATTTAAATGCCCTTGGAGTCTGCTGGGGAAGAGAAATAATACTGTCAGTCAGTATGACATGCAGATGAGTGCCGTCGATCTTAGAATCACCGCACACTTCACTCATTTGGGCAGTCACGGGGCCAAAACCAGAGTGTGGAGCCAGAGTGTGGCGGTGGAGGCAGCAGCAATGGGAGGCCATACAGCACCCTATGACAAAATGGAACCCACCAGCAGTGTGAGGAGACCTGAAAGTGGCACATGGCAGAGTGTGTGGCGATGGAGACAGCAGGAATGGGAGGCCGTACAGGGACCCATGAGACACTCTGGACCTGGCAGCAGCATGAGGAGGCGGTACAGGGGCCCATGACAGATTACGGGCCTGGCAGCAGCATGAGGAGTCGGTACGGGGGCCCATGGCAGATTACGGGCCTGGCAGCAGCAATGGGAGGCCCGTAATCTGCCAGCACCCTATGACAAAATGGAACCCACCAGAAGTGTGAGGAGACCTGAAAGTGGCACATGGCAGAGTGTGGCGATGGAGACAGCAGGAATGGGAGGCCGTACAGGGACCCATGAGACACTCTGGACCTGGCAGCAGCATGAGGAGGCGGTACAGGGGCCCATGACAGATTACGGGCCTGGCAGCAGCATGAGGAGTCGGTACGGGGGCCCATGGCAGATTACGGCCTGGCAGCAGCAATGGGAGGCCCGTAATCTGCCAGCACCCTATGACAAAATGGAACCCACCAGCAGTGTGAGGAGACCTGAAAGTGGCACATGGCAGAGTGTGGCGATGGAGACAGCAGCAATGGGAGGCCGTACAGGGACGCATGAGACACTCTGGACCTGGCAGCAGCATGAGGAGGTGGTACAGGGGCCCATGACAGATTTACGGGCCTGGCAGCAGCATGAGGAGGCGGTACGGGGGCCCATGGCAGATTACGGGCCTGGCAGCAGCAATGGGAGGCCCGTAATCTGCCAGCACCTATGACAAAAATGGAACCCACCAGCAGTGTGAGGAGACCTGAAAGTGGCACATGGCAGAGTGTGGCGATGGAGACAGCAGCAATGGGAGGCCGTACAGGGACCCATGAGACACTCTGGACCTGGCAGCAGCATGAGGAGGCGGTACAGGGGCCCATGACAGATTACGGGCCTGGCAGCAGCATGAGGAGTTGGTACGGGGGCCCATGGCAGATTACGGGCCTGGCAGCAGCAATGGGAGGCCCGTAATCTGCCAGCACCCTATGACAAAATGGAACCCACCAGCAGTGTGAGGAGACCTGAAAGTGGCACATGGCAGAGTGTGACGATGGAGACAGCAGCAATAGGAGGCCGTACAGGGACCCATGAGACACTCTGGACCTGGCAGCAGCATGAGGAGGCGGTACGGGGGCCCATGGCAGATTATGGGCCTGGCAGCAGCAATGGGAGGCCCGTAATCTGCCAGCACCCTATGACAAAATGGAACCCACCAGCAGTGTGAGGAGACCTGAAAGTGGCACATGGCAGAGTGTGACGATGGAGACAGCAGCAATGGGAGGCCGTACAGGGACCCATGAGACACTCTGGACCTGGCAGCAGCATGAGGAGGCGGTACGGGGGCCCATGGCAGATTACGGGCCTGGCAGCAGCAATGGGAGGCCCGTAATCTGCCAGCACCCTATGACAAAATGGAACCCACCAGCAGTGTGAGGAGACCTGAAAAAGTGGCACATGGCAGAGTGTGGCGATGGAGACAGCAGCAATGGGAGGCCGTACAGGGACCCATGACACACTCTGGACCTGCAGCAGCAGCATGAGGAGGCGGTACAGGGGCCCATGACAGATTACGGGCCTGGCAGCAGCAATGGGAGGCCCGTAATCTGCCAGCACCCTATGACAAAATGGAACCCACCAGCAGTGTGAGGAGACCTGAAAGTGGCACATTGCAGAGTGTGGCGATGGAGACAGCAGCAATGGGAGGCCGTACAGGGACCCATGAAACACTCTGGACCTGGCAGCAGCATGAGGAGGCGGTACAGGGGCCCATGACAGATTACGGGCCTGGCAGCAGCAATGGGAGGCCCGTAATCTGCCAGCACCCTATGACAAAATGGAACCCACCAGCAGTGTGAGGAGACCTGAAAGTGGCACATGGCAGAGTGAGGTGATGGAGACAGCAGCAATGGGAGGCCGTACAGGGACCCATGAGACACTCTGGACCTGGCAGCAGCATGAGGAGGCGGTACAGGGGCCCATGACAGATTACGGGCCTGGCAGCAGCAATGGGAGGCCCGTAATCTGCCAGCACCCTATGACAAAATGGAACCCACCAGCAGTGCAGTGAGGAGACCTGAAAGTGGCACATGGCAGAGTGTGGCGATGGAGACAGCAGCAATGGGAGGCCGTACAGGGACCCATGACACACTCTGGACCTGGCAGCAGCATGAGGAGGCGGTACAGGGGCCCATGACAGATTACGGGCCTGGCAGCAGCATGAGGAGTCGGTACGGGGGCCCATGGCAGATTACGGGCCTAGCAGATGATGACGACGAGGCTGCCAAGTGCGATCAGCCTCATCATCATCAATTAGGGTCCCTCCGCCTCACTACTAGCCCCCTCGGCTGCGTGTGGGTCAGGAGACAGACCTGTCTCTAGACCGGCTACCGAGCCACTCTCCTCGCCAGTACTTTCTTCGCCTGGCTGCTGAAGAGGCGGATGTCTCCCCCCCGTTCCTGACCGCCCTCTGTTAGCTCTTCCTCACTGTACAGTGGGGCTGAGCCCACAGCATGCGATACTTCGCTTGGTGAGGGAACACCAAAGGACAGGGGCAGGTAGAGGACACGTGATTTCAGTGGGCTTGCTCCCGGGCCATGCCAACTAACGGTTGTGTCTGACGTACCCACCGACCGTTGGCTGTAGGTGTCAGAGGTGACCTGGGGAAGAGGAAGACGACCGAGCCAACCAATCGATGACGGCAGGGTTGTCGGTGGAGACACGACCGCTGGATGACACCGGAGCACTGGCCTCTGGCTGCGACTAGTGCTGCCTCGACCCTTCCTCTGCTGCCACGTCTGCTCGCTCCTGAAACATTGCCTCCTCTGCCACTCCTCTGCGTGTTGTCTGACATACTCTTTAATTCAACGATTCTGTGTCCCTGAGTAACAATTCTGTGTCCCTGAGTAACAATTCTGTGTCCCTCAGTAACGATTCTGTGTCCCTCAGTAACAATTCTGTGTCCCTGAGTAACAATTCTGTGTCCCTGAGTAACAATTCTGTGTCCCTCAGTAACGATTCTGTGTCCCTCAGTAACGATTCTGTGTCCCTCAGTAACAATTCTGTGTCCCTGAGTAACAATTCTGTGTCCCTGAGTAACAATTCTGTGTCTGTCCCTGAGTAACAATTCTGTGTCCCTCAGTAACAATTCTGTGTCTGTCCCTGAGTAACAATTCTGTGTCCCTCAGTAAAATTCTGTGTCCCCCAGTAACAATTCTGTGTCCCTGAGTAACAATTCTGTGTCTGTCCCTGAGTAACAATTCTGTGTCCCTCAGTAACGATTCTGTGTCCCTGAGTAACAATTCTGTGTCCCTGAGTAACAATTCTGTGTCTGTCCCCTGAGTAACAATTCTGTGTCCCTGAGTAACAATTCTGTGTCCCTCAGTAACAATTCTGTGTCCCTGAGTAACAATTCTGTGTTCCTGAGTAACAATTCTGTGTCTGTCCCTGAGTAACAATTCTGTGTCCCTGAGTAACAATTCTGTGTCCCTCAGTAAACAATTCTGTGTCCCTGAGTAACAATTCTGTGTCCTGAGTAACAATTCTGTGTCTGTCCCTGAGTAACAATTCTGTGTCCCTCAGTAACGATTCTGTGTCCCTGAGTAAACAATTCTGTGTCCCTGAGTAACAATTCTGTGTCTGTCCCTGAGTAACAATTCTGTGTCCCTGAGTAACAATTCTGTGTCCCTCAGTAACAATTCTGTGTCCCTGAGTAACAATTCTGTGTCCCTGAGTAACAATTCTGTGTCCCTCAGTAACAATTCTGTGTCCCTGAGTAACAATTCTGTGTGTCCTGAGTAACAATTCTGTGTCTGTCCCTGAGTAACAATTCTGTGTCCCTCAGTAACAATTCTGTGTCCCTGAGTAACAATTCTGTGTCTGTCCCTGAGTAACAATTCTGTGTCCCTGAGTAACAATTCTGTTGTCCCTGAGTAACAATTCTGTGTCCCTCAGTAACAATTCTGTGTCTGTCCCTGAGTAACAATTCTGTGTCCCTCAGTAACAATTCTGTGTCCTGAGTAACAATTCTGTGTCCCTCAGTAACAATTCTGTGTCCCTCAGTAACAATTCTGTGTCCCTGAGTAACAATTCTGTGTCCCTCAGTAACAATTCTGTGTCCCTCATTGTAACAATTCTGTGTCTGTCCCTGAGTAACAATTCTGTGTCCCTGAGTAACAATTCTGTGTCCCTGAGTAACAATTCTGTGTGTCCCTCAGTAACAATTCTGTGTCCCTCAGTAACAATTCTGTGTCCCTCAGTAACAATTCTGTGTCTCTCCCTGAGTAACAATTCTGTGTCCCTCAGTAACAATTCTGTGTCCCTCAGTAACAATTCTGTGTCCCTGAGTAACAATTCTGTGTCCCTCAGTAACAATTCAGTGTCCCTCAGTAACAATTCTGTGTCCCTCAGTAACAATTCTGTGTCTGTCCCTGAGTAACAATTCTGTGTCCCTCAGTAACAATTCTGTGTCCCTCAGTAACAATTCTGTGTCCCTAAGTAACGATTCTGTGTCCCTAAGTAACGATTCTGTGGCCCTAAAGTCTCTCTGGCCCTAACTCTGTCCCTAATACAGACAGGTCTGTCTCTGTTGAATGACCGGAGGCTAATGGAGAATTGTAAGATGGCCGCAATTTATAGCTCCACCATTACACAGTGCTGGCTGGCTGGCTGCTGATTGGCTAATGCGATCACATGTCATGAATGAATGCATTATGGGTCAGCGCGCCTTGTCTGCGCGCCTTCCCAGAGATCCCCGCTCCGTCGCCACACATGTCGCCGCCATTTTTGGGAAAATTCGATTCGTGCATCCGAAGTTGGCTAATTTTCGGATTCGGCGCGCGAATCGAATATTTCCCAATTATTCGAAACGAATTCCACTTCGCCATGTTCGATTCGCTCATCTCTAATTGGGATGACCCACCTTGATGTTCCAGGGGATGAGTTGGAGTCGCCTTCCACTAAATCTGTAGTGGGAGGTTCGGCGTGTTGTGAGTTCTCTGAGAGGTGAGGAAAGCATCCTCAGAACTTTTGCCTGTAAGTCAATCTTTTAGGTGAGCAAATTGTACTCTTTCCTCTCCTTTTATTTTGGCTCAGGGGGTCCTGGTACAGCAGCCTCTTATTCTAATGCTATAGATGGTTGAGGATCTTTTGTGTCCTCTATAGTCAGGGAACTCGGAAGATCTTCTTGGCTTGCCCAGGATTGGCTATGAGGAATAAACTCTGGAGCCTCAGGCCTGAGGGTTCCAGTATCTGCTTCTCTGGAAGTAAGAGGAGTGGCAGCCTCTGGCAGTGTAGATTGCTACCTGGTCCTTCTCATATGCTGTTTTCAGACTTTTCCTTAGGTGGTCCATATGTCCTCTGTGTGA